ACTCCCAGAATTCCTCAGCCAGCTGGCTGGGGAATTCTGGGAGTTGAAGTCCACATGTCTTAAAGTGGCCAAGTTTGAGAAACACTGGTCTAGACAGAAGGGTTGGTAAAATAAAGGGACAAGAGACAACAGGAAAAGCACTGAGTTGGGATGAAGATTTCAGTGTTTCTGCACATACAGTCCATATATTTTTGTATCTCTCTATTCAGGAGAACCTTGCTTTCATTTTGAAACAATGATTTCAGAACAGGCAGTGTTTGATCAATTACAAAAGGATTTCTCAAGGATACTTACTCACAAGTGGTGCAAATGGGACTGAAGGTGCAGAATACTGTAAAAAAGAAAAAAGGAAAAGACGACATTCAGAACAGTGGCCTTAAGATCACAGAGATCAAGCCAAAACCTGAGAAAGCCGTTTGGTTAAACCTTACTTGACAAACACACTGAGCAGACGTAACCAATTTCAATGAGATTCCTGTGACAGAAGCAGGCAGCACGATAGTCAACATGAACAGGGGGTGGAAGGATCAGCTGGGATCTCTGTTCTTGATCAGGCAGATAAACCCACTGTAATGTTTAAAAAAAGGATACTATTACTTAAGGCAAAGCTTTGTAGAAGGAGAGCCATGTTATAGTCTATGGTAGTCAAAAATCAAGGAGTTTGGTAGCCCCTTTTCCGACTAACAAGTGTTATTAAAAGGCCTCATTTTTTTTTTATAATGTGGCTTAAACCTGACATTAAGGGTTTGGCAGAATTTACACAGGCTTCTTAATCAAACAGGCTAAGCCAGAGCAGGCTCTAAAGTGGCTAGAAAAACAGAACTCACCAGCAAATACTGCAGAAGAGAGGGCTTGTAGGGAATTTTCAAGTAGATACCGCCAGTAATATCACACGCCTAGAAAGCATGATATTATCCTCTTTTTTAGCAGAAAACAACACTCCCACCAAAGACCAAAACCACACCCGGAGCTCAGTGGTGGGGCATCTGCTTAGCCTGCAGAAGGGCCACAGTTGTGATGGAATAAACCCTGGGAACACGGAGGTGGGAACAAAACTCTTACAGGAGGAACTTGGACCATAAAGGAAAAGTCAGGGGGAGAGGGGAAGTGTGAGACAGAGACTCAGAGTTACTCTGCCTTAGTTACGCTAGGTATAAGTTGACCTGGAGAACTTCCCTTTCAAGATTCTGTTACATTACCCAATGAGCAATAAAGATTTTTCTAGAAATCCAAGTGGTTCTTACTTACTTCCTTTGCCAGGCCTCTATCAGATGGAGTTGGGAAAGACTCTTGTTGGAACATTCTGCCAGTGTCGACCAGGTTTAGGTAGCCTGATGCTCTGCAGATGTTTTGACAACAGTCCTCGTAATTTACTGCCAATGGCCAGCCTGGCTACAATAGATGGGTGCCAGTCCTCCCCTCCTGGAGGACACAAAGATGCCTTGCCACAGTGTCAACCATAGCTTTTCCAGGGCACCTGTGGCATCATCAAGCAACCTAATCTCGTGATCTAAGCTGCCTCTCACACACAGCTTCCAGGGTGTCCACAAGAACTGATGGATAAGCAAGAATAAAAATTAATGCTGTACCTGCTGCAAAAGTCCTGAATCAGAGTCCAACACGCAGGCATCAATCAAAATATTCTGGGGAAAAAAAAAGAGGGAGAATTAGGTTCATCCAAAGAGAAAGCAGTATTAATGCAAATAAGGTGCTTACAGACCTACAGATCTTGTAATAAAACTGATTGTTACCCGTTTCTGGGCCGCAAAGATCACATTCATGAAGTTCATATATTGCAATGCACTATCTTCAGCAGCTTTTATGACCTGGAAAAGAAATGGGAATTTCTTGATTTAGGTCCTGTACTTAGCAGAGTCTATCTGGCTTCAACATATGTAAGGAAATTTTTAAAAATCTTACCAAAATCCTGGACTTTATTTCCTGGCTGGCTACATATTGAACAGGAGGTGAAAAAAAAGAGAGAAAGCATGATTGTCGGACCTCAAGTCAAAATTTTACACTCATGGGACTAGTTCATAGATAATATAGTTTACTTCTGAAATAGTACAATATCTAAATCTACCCGTTATGGCTCATGTGCAAAACAAGCTACAATGGCTTGTTCATTAAACCATGATTTAAATCGTATTTTACTGCTACCACTGAATGCAAATTTGCACAAGCTAAAATACGGATCCTCTTTGCATAGAAAACAAACAAAATTCAAACATCTTGAATTCAGAATAAAGCTGAAGTAATAACATATGGAACAACCCTATGCATCATACACCAATTTTCCCTCTCTTTCTTTAGCTATACAAACCCTTAATTGCAAATTTCAAAAAATATCAGGCAACGTACCTTTATTCTCTTTTGTTATCCTGTGAATATCTGAAGCACAGGAAATTCAGGAATAATTTGGAAAGTACTTTACTTGGCACAACCAAGTAGAATGTAATGAAAATATAGTTATAGCAGGATTTGAATCTGTGTACTTCATTAATGCACTGCTTGTCCTCACAGAGGAGCCGAGAACCAAAAAAGAATAAAAACAATAGTAATAAAATCAGCAGTTCTGAAAAACCAATACAAATTAAAAGAAGGTTGAGAAAGAAAGGTGGTCTGAGCCATGTCAGCCCTTAAGGTCCTGAGCCTCAGCACAGGTGCATACACAAATGCAATGTCATTTTTGAGAAATGTTGATTTTCAAAAGGATACAGCAAAGTGCTTTAGCTAGAGATCCAGCCAGCAATGTTTCTGTCTGCTGACCCTTTACTTCAGCTACAATCAAAAAAGAAAAAAAGAAATTAGCTAGCGTATTCTTCACCCGTTCCAACTTGCACAAATTAATCTTTATACTGATGAATATTACTGTGTGTTGGGAATTACTGCTGTACAAAAGATCAGAGCTGTCCTATATATATCTGTCTAAGAATCCCATTAAAGAAGCCTTTGAAAAATGCTGTTATGCTAAGCATTTTCAAATCAAGACTTAAAGGGTTCACACTTTTAAACCAGTATGCAAGTCAAACCAACTATGATTTAATAATACAATACTACATTTGGGGAACTGAACTCAGACCCAAAAAGTTTTATATGCCTAATATTTTTGATGGAAAAAACGGAAATCAGAAGCACCAAAGCTATGCAACGAATCAATTGGCTTATCTTACTATTGGTCATCAGGTCCTTTAACTCCTCTGCAATGGTTTCATTTATGGTGGTTAATAATTCATATTTTCCATCCTTGCTGCCAGAAATATTCGATTCTCCGGATTCTCCAAAGAGATCGAGAACTGCCCAGTGTTTTCCAGGATACAAGAAACGGCTGAGAGAAGCGAAGGTAAAGTTATGTTAACCATTTAGGAATTCAATCCCTGAAACTACCACAAAATATCCATCACCTTCTGTTTTCACGGAGAAAAACATACCAAATAGCCATTAGGATGTTCCTATTTAGTTTTATACTACATTTCAGCTTTTTATAAGTTGTACTAAGCATCAGGAGCCTATTTTTCAATCAAAACAGCTCCTAGAGCAACAGATCAAGAGGAGAGAGCCTATCCCTAAGTTTGCAATGTAATAATACTTCCCCTGTTTTGTATCATGATTTGTATCAAGGCAGAAATAGAGCAGAAATAGATCTCTGAGAAGATGGTCTTTTAATACAAATCAGGGAGCACCCTTGTCTCTTTCAACAAGAGTTTGATTAAATGGCTGCTACCTTCACACTACAAAACAGGTTAGATCATGCATTTGTTCATCTAAGGTTAGCCCCCACAATCCTTTAGGTGAGCACCAAAAGGAACCAATGACCTTGCTTCCCATTTACCAGAACACTGTTCCTAATAAGTGGCTAGCTAGATATCTCTGAACAGTCCAGAAGCAAAACAAGAAGGCTAACTATTCTAACATTGCTTAAATACAATCAGGAACACTGTGTTTGAATTACTCCTTCTCATCTAGTGCCTGTTCATTCCAAAAAACTGTAACAGCCTTTCCCAAACAGATGCTTTCCAGATGTGTTGGACAAGAGGTCCCATCACCTTCCCTTTGTACAATAATCCAAACTGCCAGCATACCTTTCTTGTATATGACTGGCTATCACAGCAAGTTTGTTGTTGCGGTTCATAAATAAGTGGGAGTTTCCCAACACCATGGTTGCGTCGAGACATTTTGATAATGTAAGCTGCGAGGAGAAGGGGAAATATTATTTAAAACTCAGGAACCTTCAAATCAGAACTGAAGATCCATGAACATTTCTTCAAGCCATATTTATCAGAGAAAAACATTATAAATTATTTTTTTAAAAAGACAACCTACGCTACATGAATAAGAGCTTCAGGAAGGAATGTGGTATTTCAAAATAATGGTTCATAATATTAAAGAGAAGAGCTATATGAATTGCAATACAACCATCTATAGTTTAGTACTATACTTATACATGCTCTTACTAGGTTCTAAGCCTCACTGAACCACTGTCAGCTCCAGATTTTGGGGGAAAGAAAATTGAGACCTTACTTAAAAAATTAGTTCCTACTTGCACGCTCAGGCAGAAAGGGAAGACTACGCACCTGCCCCTTCTACTGTGGCTTGTTTACTTCCTCAGAAAGTGTGGAATCAGGACATATATCAAGAATGGGATGGACTACACTTAATAAAATTGTTCAGAGAGACCACAGACTTGGCAGACAGCTGTCAGGGCTGACTCTGGATAGCAATCATGCCCTGAGCTCTTAACTTTGCTGCCCATCTAGCCCTTCCCACTTAGAAATCAATTCCACGGATTTTAGTGAACTGTATTTCCCAACAAGCAGGAACCACCCTTGACTGGAAGCCCTTTTGAGAAGCACAGAACCTGCATTTCTTAAAATCAGGCTGAAGAATTCAATCAGACCGTAACAGCTCCACCATGAGCAGATGTATCTAATTCACAGAAAACAGGCAACGCCACAACCAGTTTAACATGCGACAGGGAGATCTTACCTCTGAGCCCAACAGTGCTTGCTTTCCCCACCAGATAGGGTTAGTATCCACAACCACGACTAGGAGATTCACCTCATCGTCTAGGAAAGAAGCTACAACATAGGATTCGGAAGGCAAGGCTGAATCCGCCACCCCTTTCCTCGTTTTATAGAGGAATCCAGATGGGGCAATCCAGATGTGGAAAGCCACCATTCCCAACCATGCGGAAGACTGGCCGTGGTCCCCCCTCAGCTGGCTTTTAGCAGCAGGTAAACGTGTTCCTGCTTTAACTGCAGCATCCCCGGAAGACTCTGAGTCCCCCCCGGCCACGTGGGAATGATAGGGGACCTTCCTTTATTCCCTAAATTATATCTGTACTGAAGGGAGACCGGGGGTGGGGGAATGGGGTGGAGGGGGGTGGAACCACTCTGCACATGCTCAGAGATAGCCACGCTTGGTAAAAACCCAGCCACCCACCAAGGACCTCGGAGACCGGAGACTTGCCCCGGAGGCGGGAAAGGCGGGAGGGGGGGGTTCAACCCAAATCCGAATTTAAATCCAGAATTCGGACCCCAAACTCACCCCCGCTCATAGCGCCGCAGCGGAACCCTCCGGTCGCCTGAAAGTGACGTCACGAGGACTCAGGCGCACCCGCCTGGCGTCACCCGCCCGGTTTCTTCTTTCTTCCGAGAGCGAGTGCCACTGGGAAACGTTTCCGGGGAGGTCGCGTGGCGCCGCGCCAAAGGTTCCGGGGAGGTGGTGGCGTTTCCCGAACTCTTTCTCCACCATGAACGAAGTGGGTGAGCGGAGGGCGAAGGGGGCGGCTTGAGATGCGCATTATTGTGAAATATCGTTTTGAATTGGATTCCTTCCTGTGTGCCTGGTGGACACGGGAGTCCCTTGCATGGTGGGCGAAAGAGAAGGGGGGGGGACTGAATTATTCCAGACGAGAACGAAAACAAAAGCTGGAAGTTAAACAGGTCAAGCCTTGTCAGGTGGAAATGTCAGGTTCCCTACTCTGTTAGGTTTCTACTAGTCTGGCGGGGGTTGCGGGAAGAGTTTCCTTTGGGATCACTTACTGTTTGTTCCTTTGGGAGGGAAGGGCCATCAGAAACCTTTTGCCACCCCCTTCTCATTTCTTTAGCGTTGTAAAATCCACGCCATTTTCTACTTATATTTTTATTATTCCACTATATAGAGCCGCCCATCTCTGCTATCTATCTATCTATCTATCTATCTATCTATCTATCTATCTATCTATCTATCTATCTATCTATCTATCTATCTATCTCCATCCTTAATAACAACGTGGCTTTTCTGAGAACGTTCCAAACGTTACAGCCTATAGCAGGCGAAAGTGTGTGTGTGGAATAAATGCAAAATACCCCATCTGGAAGAGTCTCATAAATGCAAAATATTCCAATATGTAAAATGTGAAAGGAGCACCTTCGTAAGCTTCTGCTTTTAATTAATTTATTTTTTCTGTTCCACCCCCACAGAGCTGGTTGATGCCTTTAACACCCAGATGAGACAAGATCCAGATGTTGCCTCCGCAGTGGCTGCTATTCGGGTCTTGCTGGAGTTCCTGAAGAGGGACAAAGGCACGTAATGTCTTGGCGTAGCTTGCAGAAAGAGACTGAATCACAGAAAGGTGGAATTGAGCCTGGAATCTACTTACAAATCCCAGGGTGATTTGCAGCAGAGCAACCCATTACAAAATAAATAGTAATCGATCATTACTACTAAGAGGTCACCTTGTAAGATACGTGCCTGGGTATCTTGGTTCCCTAACTGGCTTTGTGTCTTGACTCTTGTCCCAAGTCTTTCTGTACTGTAAAATAGGAATATGAAATGGTTTCATTTGATTTGTAAAGCTCTGCTAGTCATTTCTGGACTTTGGGGTCAAAATTGCTGATCTGGGAGTTTATATATGAACCTACAGGCAGCGAGGAAGGGCTTCCACTCTTGAGTTAACTTTATCATATGGCTTCCCCACTTCCTACCCCAGCTTCTATTTTGTACTGTATGCAACTCCAAGATGATAGACCTTGACTGTAAAACCTGAAGCCCACCCAGCAGCTTCTTTTTTTATTCTGTCAGGTGAGACCATCCAAGGACTGAGAGCAAACCTAAAACAGGCTATAGAAATGCTCTCTAGTGTCGACTCCTCGGTGGCCATCTCTTCTGGAGGAGAGCTCTTCTTGCGATTCATCAGTCTCACCTCTTTGGAGAACCCGGTGAGTTTCCCCCAGCTCTTTAGAAAAAGCTGCCCGTGTTTACATTAAAAAGAAAAGAAAAAAGCGGAACGTGGCTATAAGAACACCAGAGCGTGCTCCGATGAAATACTTTCATCTTGAGTAACTTGGAAACAATTCAAAACATCAGAGATCAGCCTTGACAAATATTAATGTTGAAGGGCTCCTAAGTTTGTACAGAGTATTGTGTGTGTGTGTGTGCAATAATGCACAGAGCAAGTTTCCGTGCATGTGGGATGAGGAGTGAGAGGATGTGTGAATCCATACACTCGCTCATTTGTGTAAAGATGCTAATCTTGCTACCCAATAGTGTTTTGTCTTGTTTCTTCAATCTTCTGCATCATCTTTCAACTTTGGTGTTTCCTCATTTTTCCCAGGACTATTCCAAATGCAAAGAAATCATGATTGAAAGAGGGGAGCTTTTTCTTCGGCGAATCTCTCTTTCGAGGAAGAAAATCGCCACTCTTTGTCACACATTTGTGAAAGATGGTGGAGTGAGTAATATTGTTACATTTATAATCACAGCCTTTTTTTTTCCTTCATGCTCTTCAATAATGATAATAAAAAATCCCAAGTGTCTTGGGCCACCTAATTTTTTCTGATCTGTAATGTTATTTACTTACTTGTTTACCAAAACCACCACAGGATCGTTTTTTGAAGGAGGCTATAAAAATATACTGGAATAAATGCCTGCTATTTATCAGGACAATGTGGTGGGATGTAGTGATTTTAATTCTTTTTCCCATATTTCTCCACTTGTTCCATTGAATGAGATGTTCTTCCTGTTCCTTGCCCCCAATAGACAGGGGCTGGGGACTGATATCATCAACCACAAATGGAAAAAATATTTGGGTTGCCTTTCCAGAGAATACTGACTCATGCTTACTCAAAAGTGGTACTTCGCGTGTTAGAAGCAGCCGCACAGGCGAAGAAACGTTTTAGTGTCTACGTCACGGAATCACAGCCAGATCGAGCAGGGCAAGTAAAACAGAAATGTTTCCCTTCCTTGTTAGCACAGGATGACCCACTTCTCTCTTTCTCTCTCCGAGGTTGTCTTGTATATGAATTTAAGCTGCAGTACCAAATATGAACTTCTATATTTGGCTGATTTTCTTGGTGAACGCCTAGCCTGTGATTTTTGTGCAATCCCCCAAGTAAATAGGACTTGGTGGATGGTTTTCCTTGCCCTTTTGTTAAACGTATAACAGTTTTTTTAAAAAAAAAGTAGTAACAAAGGGAGTTTCCATTTAAAATTCATTTAATCGATCACTTTAATAAAAATGTTTTCCCCAGAATGTAGAGTAGGATCGGGGTATTGTTTCTTATCATACTGCCTTGTTTAATGTATGTGTCCTAACATTTACACAGGCAGAAGATGGCAGAAGCTCTCATGAAACTTGGTATTCCTGTCACCATAATTCTCGATGCTGCAGTTGGGTAAGTCTGGTTGGTTAATATTGCTGCTTGGCAAAGCACTGTTCAAATGGGAGGTTCCCAAAGCAACATGAGATAAAGGGAGAATATTGGCCGTGTTCTTACAACGTAAGAGCTTTGTAGTTTACTCACCCAGAATAGTGGCCTGGCTCACACAGAACCGTTGTATCCGAACTGCCAGAACGCATTGCATCAAAACCAACGTGTTATTGTCATACTGAGGACGGCTGTAACGTGAACCAGTATACATCTCATCTAATTAAATGCAATCCAAGAGGTCACAATAACTCTTAGTGCAGTGGGTGAATTTAGTGATTGGAAGCACCTTATATCCTCTGTCCGACCTTTGTTCATCCCTTTTCACATTATCTAACTGATGCCAGTACTAGATTGCAGCGTGATCCTTTTAACTGGAGATATCAGGAGCTGAACCACAAACTTCCTCTCTAGAGAACAAATGCTTTTCCACTCAGCTCCTTCTTTTATTCCAGTTTTCTCAACCTTGGCAACTTTTAAGACGTGTGGACTTCAACTCCCAGAATTCTTCAGCCAGCAAGGCTGGCTGGGGAATTCTGGGAGTTGAAGTCCACACATCTTCTAAGTACGCAAGGCTGAGAAACACTGCTTTATTTCTGTTAAAAGGAACTGGTGCCACCCTTCCTGCTTAACTGGAAATGTAATTTAGGACCCGTTGCCTGTAGAACCATGCCTGTAGAAAGCCATCAGTCCTGACAACGTGCCCATGTTCTGCTGGGTACGTCTTCTCCTTTATGCAAACTGGTTTTGCAGAAATCAGTTTTGGTGGCTCACCGTTCATTTCCTTCCCAGCAATAAAACAGGAGGCAGATTCTGTACGAAGGGGAAAAGGTTTCACTTAAAACGTAGCAGAGGGAGAAGTGTGTTTGCCAAAGGATCTGGAAAAAGAACTGCAGCACAGGCCCCGTTTTTCTGTCTTATTAGGTACATCATGGAAAAGGTCGATTTGGTGATCGTGGGGGCTGAAGGAGTTGTTGAAAATGGCGGGATCATCAACAAGGTGAAGGAAGTTTGTAACTCTTGCAGGGTGCCCTGTTATCCCATCTGTTCAGGGAAAGCCCTTTGACTTAGCACAGGCCTCTATCCTGCGAGGATGAAGGTGATTGTGATGGTCCCTTCCTTGAAAGCCTTTCCCAACCACTCTTCCATGCTGCTCTGAGGTCTCTCAATCACCTGGAATTAATTGGGAGGGATTAATGGGGAAAGCCATCTTTCTTCCCCTTCTTCTGATAAGAAAATTCCAGCGGGTCAGAGCTGATGTTGCTTCAGGCACGTTCTAACCACTGTCCCTCTTTCCCCCACACCTAACGGCTTCTTCAGATTGGGACGAACCAAATGGCTGTCTGTGCCAAAGCGCAAAACAAACCCTTCTACGTGGTTGCTGAGAGTTTCAAGTTTGTAAGACTCTTCCCTCTGAACCAGCAGGATGTCCCAGATAAATTTAAGGTAAGAGAAGAGTCTGCTTCCTAGTTGGAATAGAACTTCTACCTGGCTGGAAATGTTGGAGTTCACTATCTCAGGGGAAGGCAAAACCTGAGCAGCCGTCACAGTATGGATATAAACCAGCCTGTCCTCTTGCTCTTCCAGATGTTTGATTTCAGTTCCTGTGATTTCTAGCTTTGGTCCATGGTGGCTGGTGATTTTAGGAACTGAAATCCAGTAGTGTTGAAAGGGACTAGGCTGAAGTTTATAGAAATGTAGAGAATAATTTGTCATGGACTGTGTCGTGCTTCTCTGAATCTACGGTCCTGAGTGTGTTTGGAAACAGTAATGCTCGTTCACTGAATATTAATTGGACATGGCAAGGAATATTTGTGAAAAACTGGGTGAGTACCCAGACTTGTTGATTTCTTGTAGCAATTGGTTTCCTTCCATCCCATTGAACAACTCTACTGTCCTGAGTTTAATTCCTGTAAGCCACCTTGACTGTTGTAGGGACAGAACGGTGGGGTGTCAAAGAACTGCCTCTCCCCATAATGGTAACGCAGATCTTTTGTTACTCTCAGTACAAAGCAGATACACTGAAGACGCAGAAGCCCCTCACAGTCGAGCACCCTTGGATCGATTATACTTCCCCATCTCTTATCACGCTGCTTTTTACGGATCTCGGGGTCCTGACCCCTTCAGCTGTGAGCGACGAACTGATTAAACTCTATTTGTAAACTGTCTCCACTGAATGTGTTGATTGCAAACAGTCAATGTAAAATAAGCAGGGAATTTGCTGGCAGTCAATGATCTGCCAGTTTATTTTGTGGAAAGTTTTTTTTTTTTAATTCATTTGTACAAAAAGCTCACCATGCCATTTGGAAAGTAAATTATTGGAATAAATTCATTCGGAGAAAGACCAAGTGTTGAGTTTCATATACATTTTCTGGTTCACCTTCTGACCCTGAGATGAAATGCAAGGTAGTGCTTGAACTATAACGCGGTTTACAAATATATCATCCAGAAAGTAAGGGGGCAGCAAAAATGAAATCTATGTTACATTGGATCCATTTAATTTACATACAGGTAAAAATATGTAAATAACGATTGAACATGAATAGAAATACAATCTGTCTCAACCTGGTGGGGACAATTGTGACTATGTGACTTGCAGTTCTACAGCTCCGTTTCCTATCCAGGTGCATTACCTGCGGATGGACGTGTCAAAGCTGACTTGGCACCCTTCTCCTCTGAACGTGACTCAACAGCTCTTTAAGTAGAGGCCACCCAGCGATCCTCCTAATTGTCGGGTTTTTTTGGCTGGACTCTGCGTGGAAGAGGCTGGGAGATTTTTTTCCCCAGAGCAAATGCCTTCCCAGATCCAGACTGCAGAAACGCATTCCATACATATGACAGCAGCTCAACAGCTCCTCAAGCAAACAGTTGGACGTGATGAAACAGGGAGGGAGCGAGCGAGCCAAACTTAGTTAAAATAGCTTCCTCGCGCAGTCTCGTCTCTAAGACCTGCAACTAAGTGTTTTCCTTCCCCTTCCACCAGAGCTATATTTGGGTCTTGCACACAGCTCTTATTCTCTCTGTGCGAAGTATCAGTAGATTACACCTGGTAGGTTCCCAAAGCTCCAGTGTTTGTCAAGATTGCTCTAAGTGTGGGAAAGGGGGCAATGTGACAAACTCACAGGACAAGCAGAGCAACTGTTGTAAGCAAGACACTGTTTCCCATTTTGGTAACACTTTCGCTTTGACTCCATCCCTTTTGGCAGAGGCTAAACACGCTCCAAGTCATTTGCTTCCACTCAAAACAGGCAATACTGATTTAGACAGACTGATCCTCTGACTCTTTCTACAGAGTTGGCTTTCAATACCTCCTCATGGGAGGCAAGGGGAAAGCAGCTTGGATAAACCCAATTTTGCATGCAGAAATCCAGAGCCTGTGTTAAAGAGTTGAGCACCACTGCAAAAGAATCGCTTTTAGCGACACGAGAAAGGTTGGCGTTTTCAGTTTATATTTTATCCTTCCGAGTCCGAACCACTCCCTTCTTTCCTGCTGCATAGCAGCGTCTTCTCAAACTCCTTCTCACTGATTTTGCCCTTTTTTAACTTTTTCAAGAGCCGGGTGTCCTTCAGAAGCTCCTCCATATCTTCATCGTCAAGGTCAGAACCCTACAGGTGGATTATAGAAATAGAAGACTCAAAAACGGAAAGGCTTGGAGTGAGTTTTGATTGGGTCTCCTTAAACGACTGCATATAGCTTTTGCTGTTGCTTCTAATAGTTCTTTGTACCTCGCTTTCCACCTGTTCTGAGAGTCCATCAACAAGATGAAACAATGGAGTGAAAGATTACATTAAGCCACTGTTTGGGGGCGGCTGTTGGTTTTGTGTCTGGAGTGAGCTCAGCAGGGTTCACAAACTGACTAGAGTGATTACTTATGATATTCTTCAGCCAAAGCTAAATGAATCCCATGTTGGCTTAATGTGATGTACCAACCTCCCCAGAGTCAATAAAAATGGAGGTTCCTGATCTGGCTTCCCTAGCCCGGCCCTCTAAGATCTTTTAGCAGTCTTGCAACAAACAAAAACCTACAGAAAAGCACACACCCACTTCCTGTCCAAACCTACCTCCTCTCTTTTCCGTTTCGCTATCAATTTCTTTTTCTTCTCCTTCTTTGCTTTCTGCTTGGACCAAGCTTTATTTCTGGGCATCTTCCTCCCCACTCTGCGGACTTGACCCTCTTCCTTCTGTTGCTCCAGCAGCTTCTGCCTCTGTCTTTCCCGGTTCTTGTCTTTGAATGCAATCGAGTCCGTGTCAATATCAACGGGGGTGAAGTCCGAGAGGCACTTGCCTTTCAGTTCGGGCATCTTTGGCATCTTCAGGAGGGCAAAACCTCGGGCTAGGCTGGCAAAGTCCAGATCTGTTAAAATGGGCATAAACTGGTGGATCTTCTCATTTCAACCTGGTAGAAAACCAAGTTGTTGAAATGTGGCAGTAGATCAGGAGAGAGTTCTTGGATATGAGCTCCCAGAAAGAGTTTGGGGATCTCATCTAGCACTGGGTGTGGAAGCTGACCACCCCTCTATTTAGGGATCATTAGACACTGAAAATGACAAACTAATCACAAAACATGGGTTTTTGTAATCTTAAGAAACAAGGCAAATGAAAAAGAGAAGTGGCTGAAACTAACACAAAGGCCAGAGACTGCAAAGGCATTGAAGAAGTGGAATTGCTTAGTAATAAATGTTGGAAATGCCATAAGACAGAAGGAACATTTTAGCCTAGGTGGTGGACATGTAAAAAAACTCAAAAACTCTAGAAAGAAATGCACAGCACCATTCAGAGAATTTTAAGAATCAAATCTGAAAAGGAAACCACAATTCTTCTTACTAGGCATAACCCCGAATCACATTAACAAAAAATATCACAACTGACTAAGATGTATGTTTATGGCAGCAAGGATAAAGTTAGCATGCCATTGGGAAAAGGAAGTGAAATTGCCTCTAGGAGGGAGGTAGAATCAAGTTCCCTCCAGCTGTTGTCTTCTCACCAGGACGTGCAGCCAGGGAATTTCTGCAGGAAGCAGAGTGCAATTCTCACCTCTAAATCCCTGACTGTTGGGTAACATGGAGGCTGGTTGACACGCGCTGCAGGGCAGTCGGTTGGGATAGGCACAACGAAAGCGCCATTTACCTTTTATTCGGAAGATCAGGTTGCACTCGTGTTTGGCGTAGGCCTGCACACAGGATACAAATGCCTTCATCCCTTTTTCATACACAGCTCTATCAGCCAGACTCAGAGACTTCAGCTTGGGCAGGACATCCACAACATTCCTCTGCGGTTTCAGTTCCTGCATGGGGCACTAATCGAAGAGGTTGGAAGTTAAGCCGCCAGAAGCATTTCCGGTTTTTTAGCTAATTCAAACCCTCAAATTGGGATGAATGTTTTTCATATTTGTTTTTCTTAAAAAAAGAGGCTTCTCGCCTCTTTCGTGTTCATTCCTTTTTCTTTCTGTATTTTTTCTATCAGACTACAAGTCGGGGAACAGGGACCGTCTTACCTCTTCAGAAAAAAATAATAATCTAATTTATTAGGCATAAGCAAACAATAACAACAGGAAATAACATCCACAATATTTAATTAATTAATTTCCAATATTCCGGTTCCCTACCCCCAAAGCCAATTCTCTCTTTACTATTTCTGGATCAAAATAGAAAAAAGAGGCCACTCACCTTTTGGTTAATGGCGAGAAAACTGATGTAGGCTTCTTCCATGGGAAGCAAGAAGACAAGTGCGCTGCCCAGGTGGCCGATGCGCGCGGTGCGGCCGCAGCGATGCACGAAGGCGCTGAAGAAAAACGTGGGAGAGAAAAACGTGCGGTCGCACAAGGAAAAGCTTTCGAAGGGCGCACACTCGGTTAAAACAAGCAGGGATTCTTCCTCCTCTGAGATGGGTTACCACCATGCAGTCAAATAGTCGTACTGCTCTTCTGTGGATGCACAAGAGTGCTACGCCACACTGTTTTTAAGGAGACGGGAAAAGGGGGTACCTGGCATTGCTTGGTGGGTCGTACTGCAACACCCAGTTCACCTCCGGAATGTCTATGCCACGGGCCATCACGTCAGTACAAACCAGAATGCCGCTGGGAAATTGAACAGGAAGAGAAAATGTTCAAAGGGGAAGCAGATGAGAGCTCCCGCAGTTACATCACTTCACTTTGGGAGCATAGCACGACTTTACATTGAACCAGCCACATTGTGGTTTGCGGGGGTAGTGAAATAGGATCTACGAAGCCGGTTCTTGGGACCTGCATACAATGGCTTATGACCAATTGTGAGTTGTTCAACAAGCCATGGTCAGGGAAATCTTGACTTACGGAAGTGTGACTCCAGCCAGCGTGCAATGGATTTCTGAAATTAGAGAATTCTGAATTCTTAGGACCTAACTCTTATAGCTACCTTACACCTAAATGAAGATGCAAAGGGAAGCGTTTCTGAGTGTGTATACATGCACAAATACCCCCCCTTCCCTTCTCTCTCTTCTTGCTATTGGTCGGTTTAGCCCTTGCAAAAATGTTTTTCTACCTTGGAAGCTTCCGGAACTCTGTAAAGATCCTATTCCGCTTGTGTTTCATCTTCCCATGGATGCACATGATCTTCACATTTTTAATCAAAGACTCCAAAGCCTTCCCATAATACTCCACACAGGCACAGGTACTAAAATTGTAAACAAAACACTAGATTTAAAAAATAACTATTCTTAATTTTACGTGGCTTGTAAGCCACAATCTGAGGAACAGCAAAAGTACCCATGGTAAGTCTATATCCTCACACTCATTTTATCCTACCTGAAAAAGACAAGATGTTTTTCTGGTTTGTGTTGACGAAGGAAGTAAACCAGCTGGTTAAATTTCTCGTCCGCCTTACAGATCTAAAAGCAAAGGAACAGGTAAAATTTAGTACATGGTGTTTAGAGAAAGAGAGGACAGAACAAAGCCATTTGTTGAATCTCTTCTCAAAATCCTTAACAAGAGTAAGTCTGTTTTTTTCCTTAGCTCTCAAAACAAAAAAAAACGTCCCAATGTGTACATATTTCTTGGCATTTAATTCTGACATTCTCCTCCACCCTTCCCAATAGAGATTATATGCTTTTCAGTGCTAAGATCTACTTTATAAATTGGGATTGAAGAACATATGCCTTGCCCAACATACTAACTACCATACCCATATCCCATCTGATAGCAGAAAAGGATACTGGAAGCTGCATTTCTGCAACATCCGACAGATAATCTCTGCTATAGTTCATTAAATACACTGATCAACATTGACCACAATCACTAAGCCAAATGCCAAAAATTGGTATGTCAGATGTCTTTTCACCCAGTATACTTTCTACCACCCAACAGGATCAGAGGACCTAGGACCATTCCCCCTTAAAAACCACTCCAGGGAACAGAATTGACCTCACCATGTAATAGTTCTGGAGCCGAGTAGGAGTCTTCTGGGTGTTACTCGCTGCCATTCCCTTCTCCTTCACTGAGATGCGGACAGGGTTTCGGAGACCTGCTCTTACTAGGTTCTCAACCTCCTGGGTCTGGGTTGCGGAGAAGAGACCCGTCCGTCTCTGCTTGGGCAGAAAGTCCAGGATAGCGTTCAAACTGCCGGCAAATACAGTTAACAGTGTCAGAAGCACTCTGTTGGACAAGACCAACAGCTTCACAGTCAACCAGATAGCTAGACCAAAGCTTTTCAAATTTTCTCAGGCCACAGAAGCTGTTAGTTAAAAAAAGAAAAAAATCCTGGAACCCCTGATCGAGACATAAAGCTCCAGTGATATATAACTTTCTCCCCCTAAGTCTCCCATGGAATGCAGTCTGAAAAATCCTGCCCTAGACAATTCAACAATTATTGCAAAATATAATTCCTGGAAGATGAAGCAAGCAACTTTGAGAGAGGAAAATTATGGTGATCAACCCAGCTCACAAAGATTAATATCTACAAATACAATAAGCTACCTTGCTTCAAACCCCATGTCCAGAAGCCGATCTGCTTCATCCAAGACCAAAATATCAAGAGATTTCACAGACTTGGCCAAATCCAGCCCCTCTGATTTCCTCCTGAACATGTCCTCCAAACGACCTGGGGTGGCCACAAGGATGTTTCCGCTGTTCAGTACAGATAAAGAAGATTTGCAGGCTGGTTTTGAGAACTCAAACTTCGGGAGGCTACACAACAATTCAAACTTATTAATTTAGTTTATATAGCCACCCACCCAGCAAGCCCCTCAGGACAGAGAAACTGACTTTAATAAACAGAAGAAATACCTAATGAAAAGGAGTTGCTAAAATGCAAAAACACTGGTACATATTTAAGTAGATATTAATTCCTTCCTGTAAACAATGCCATCCCTTCTTTCTCTCAGATACAACAAAATTGTTCAGGCATTTATAAAACAGCCTTAAGTTTTCTAAAGTCTTCTGAAATGTGTGAATAGGATGAATTTTAATAACAACTTTCAAAAGATTCTGGGTGTTAATAATAATAAAAAAAACAGCTTACACATCTGCCTATCTCAGATCCTTGGGAAGGACTCGATAGTTAGATAAAAATGCCAAATCCAGTCTAAACATCTGGTGGACTGTACGACCAACAATAATAAATTAAATTAATATATTGCCTGATCCCATGTGGTAATAGTCTTACAGCCATGACCCCAGCACCTAACTCACCCTCGTTCTTTGAATCGTTCTACATCTTCCATAGGATTCTTCCCACCAATCAAAAGGCACTGGCTGGAACAAAACACACATCTTAGTCAAACAACAAACCTAGGCCATCCTGCTTTCCTGACCATCAAACAGGACTTACCTAAACTGTGGGTAATATTTAACAAAATGGGAGATCACTTCATCTATCTGGATAGCAAGCTCTCTTGTGGGAGTGATGATAAGTGCACCAATCTGAAATGGCAAGCAGCAAAAAAGAACTACTATTAATACAGCTTCAGCTGTATCTAACTTTTATTACAAGACATCTCTCTCTTTCACAAAACTCAGACCGAAAATAATACTCAATATTTCTTAGGTAGCAACAAGGACTTAAACGCCAGACTGCAGAGTTAGAAAACTTGGCTTTCCAGACTTTCTCTCTAGGTCTTAAAAGAGAAATAAACCCACACATTACCTGCGCTTTTTTTAGCTTTTCTTCACGCCGGAGAAGAATTTCTATGATGGGAATGACAAAGGCTAGCGTTTTCCCACTGCCTGTTACCTGAGGGCGTGAAGACAAGAGATATCCAAAGAAGGTTCCTTAAACCACTCAGACAGGAAAATCGTGGCTAAATCAGTCCAAAAAAATCACTCACCGCTTCAGCCGCCACGTCTTTATTTGTCATAAATAAAGGGATTGTTGCACACTGTTGAAGAATCGAGAGGAGAGGTTACGAGCAGCCACGACTGCTTTAAAAGAAGCGTGTCAGAGGAAAGATGTGGCAAGGTACGTTTCTGGTTCAATTCGTTTCTTCTCTAAAAGGATCCAGCGCAGCGGGAGCCAAAGCCTTGGCCAAGCCACACAAGGAGGGATGGAATTGGGGCTTCTACCAGAAAGCGCCCACCCAGACCCTTTACATCCGACTCAAAGGTGGACCTCAGAGAATGTGAGACCCTGACTGCTTATTGCTTTGGATTTTAACCGAAATTGTTTATCTTGGTTTATTTTGGGGGCTGGATTTGGCATTTTTGTCCACCTGGGGAGTACTTCCCAAGGACCTGAGATAGGCAGATGTTGTTGTTTAATAATTTCAAAGGTATCGTCGCGGGATGACAGCTGTTCCAAGTAAAGCCGCCTTCGGCAATGGCCTGATGGTGATTCCGCCGGGCCGAGGGTCTTCCAGCGGTGCTCCCGATGTTTTGGGGCTGCACCCAAGGCGCCCAGGACTGCTGGGACTGGCTTTCCCTTACTCCAAACGGCCTGCAGGCCCTCAGCCTTTCGTACCCTGGAGTCCTCCTCCTCCTCCAGGCGGGTTGGAATCCAATCCATCAGCCACGGGGGCCGAGAGATGGGAGCTGGAGTCCAGCCTGCAGGGAAGCGGGAAGAGGGCTGCTGGCGGCCGAAGCGGGGCCGCCCCGCTCCCTACCTGCACGGGCGTCATGTGAGAGAAGCGCAGCTCCCGTAAAGCCTGCAGGACGCCCGGGCTGAGCGCGACGGGCAGCGACTCCCACGTCCCCTCCGTCACCTGCTCCATCGTGCGCCTCCCGCCTCTGACTCCGGCCGGAAATCCTGTCCGGCCTCTTCGAGGTCCGCCGCGTGGAGCGCGTCCGTCACCTCAGGACTCCGACCGGGAAACGAGGCCCGCGTGATCTTGGTTCCGCGCCAGCGCCGCTCCCCCCATACTTCGGCCCAAACCCAGGACCGGGAGCCCGGGCGACGATCGATCGGCCTCCGCCGAGACGTTCAGGCGCGGGGGCTTCACGTACCTTCGCAGAGCTGCTGTACTTTTCTCATCCTCGTTAGCCCTGGGGGTGACTGGGAGCAGCTGCTGATGGGCTTGGGGCGCAGGGGTGACTTCTCAGCCCCTCGCAGGAACGCCAAATACTGCACCGTCCAGGGACGCTCCGGGGAATTTTAGGCCAAAGAGGGAGGCTCGATTTCTCGCAAAAGGAGACTTAGTTGCTCCAGGAAGGACGACCTGGGAATCGCTTCCTCAACTTCAAGGCATCTTCCCCTTTTTCTGCATATGCCTTAATCCCAAATTATGCCTGGTTGACACTGGCCGTTCCCAGCTGATGCCTGGAGCGCGAAGCACGCACTTTATTGAATTTTCCCCCCTTCATGTGCTTCTTGCACCTTTCCTGTTTAACCTCCCCCCAAGTGTTCACCGCGCTGGATGGATATTACTGCCCGACATTTAACGCATAGAGATTGCACAGTACCATAAAACAGGTCCCACATATACGTGCCATATTCCACCTTTTTCAATACTGTACTTCATTGTTTAAATACCAAATTAATACCCCGTTGGCTTCTAATGATGAACGTCTTCAACTCACAAGGCTTCCTTCTAAAGCTTCATGCCATCTATTGTCCCATCGCACAATCCTCCAGCGGTTCTCTCCCCCACCCCATTACACACCCATTTGAAATATCTTCCTTTAAGTTAAAAAACAACACACACACACACAAAAAATAACAATTATAATTGAACATGTAAGATAAGCATCAGGCTCACTGACTTTTTTTTTTTTTAAAGAAGGTGTTTATTTAATTGAATCTGGCCAAATTTCAAACATTTTTAAATGTACATTTCTACTCTTGAGCTCCATTGGTCTCATATTAGCATCGGCATACAACGGCTGTACTGAGATGGTGATGAAGAAGTGCTGTTAAGTCTCCACCTACGGCTGAAAGGATTACTTGAACCATGAAAACTTGTAACAAATTTTAATTAAATTAAATTTGGTACAAAACTCTTTTAGGCATTACTGACAGAATGCTCCCCCCCTTGGAAAAGAACCCACTCCCACCCCCAATTATAACCAATATACATCAGCCACCACATAATCTTGGATCAGCACCCACCCTAACAGACGAACGTGGTGATTGTTAATTCCATCATCCGGATAAGCAAGGGGGAAAAAAACCACATCCTATAAAAAATTATGTCAACGTGTGAAGAGAGAACAAGCAGAAAATAGATATTTCTTCCAAGATGGCTGAATTGGGAACACCAACTCCTTTCTTGACAGAGGCTCCTGTGCCTTTAACAGCAGGGCAACGAGGAAAAGCTCAGGAGATAGTTTATGGAAGTGCAGTAATAATGTGAAAGGGCACACGCACTGCGCTGCTGCTATTCAGTGTGCAAAAGCCTCTGGGGAAGATTCAGCGGCGTTTTTCTGTCTCATTTCTCTCAGTCACATAAAAGGCACAGGAGTCTTCCTCACAGGAAAGGTGATCGCAATCCGAGGTTGGCATGACCAAGTTGCTCAGGCTGCAGAGCACTGTAGAAACCTTCTTCCTCCACCCCGCCCAAACGCTGAAACCATCTGACATCAGGTGTCCTGGCTCTACCATAGTATTATAGAAAGGACTGGCTTTGGAACGATAAACGGAGAGGGGAAGACGTTACGCTTAGCCAAATCCCCAACGATTGCCAGTTTCCAGGTTTGCAAGCTAAGGCCATATTCAGCAGGGTTGTACTTCCATCTCTCATTTAAACAAGTACCTCAATGAACAAATTGGTGGAATCACCATAAAGGTACTGGGGATTTTACAGAAGCCGCCTAAACATATCCTAACTGAACCACCCCTAGTTTCTCTATGTCTGAACAACACTGTGTTTGTTTCTTCCTTGGCATAATGGCTTTTTGTGGAAGCACTGCCAGGACTGGGATACACCATAACTCTTCCCTTATGTGAAAGTAGAGAGGAAATCCATTGATCGAGTTAGAGAATCTTCCCCACAGGTTTATATGCTATTATGAAAAAGCCTTGTACCATTTCCCCTAGACCAAAAAAAATAATAAAAATCCGCATTTTGCTACAAAAAATCAAGAAACAAAAAGAGAGAAAAGAATCAAGAGTTAAGAGTTAAGCAACAGTATTGTTTTCCAACTAACTTCTGTCATTTTGGTTGAACTCATTTTGGCTTATGAGAAACAAAGTCTTCCAATTTCAGAAAATAACTCACAGCAGGTATCCCCTCATATCAAAACCAAAACAAAATTAAGCTAAGAAGACATTAAACTTAAGTTTTATAGTTCGGGATGCAGGGGATAAAGAAAAGTACGTGATTTTTGCAACAAAGTTGTTTGGTAAAGAGTGAACAGAGTCTGGGATCACTGGAAAGGGGACTGGGAGCAAAGTTTGATTAAACAACTCTCCGGACTTCAAAAAACCTCTTCAGGTAGTAGATCTGTCCCAGTGTCATGGCAACTAGTACAAGGGCTTCAAAGAACGACCAGAGGACCACTCTGCTATTTGTGTTGTCGTTAACTGGTGAAGAAACCAAGAAGAAAACACAAAGTTAGCACATCGAAACTACAGAGGATCTAAATAGTGCAGGACCTACATAATTTCAGGAACATCTCCTCCTATCTAAGCCGCCCACACTTACATCGTATGTGGAGTCCCCACTCCATGTCCAGCTATCTTCTGAAAAACCAAAACAAAACAGCCAACCAGATATTTCTGGAAAGCTTGCAAACTGAGCTTGGAAATGATTGGTTCACCTAGCAAGTTTCAGCTACAACTGCAGGTCTTAAGTAGCTTACGTCTTTTTGCTGCTGAGCTTAATGAAAACCCACACTGATCACTCCATCTTCCATTGCAACAGCCCAGTCTCCTCCCCGCTTTCAGAACACGACTTCTCTTGTGCTGGCAGTTGCAATACCAGGCTTCCTTTCCTTCGGCTCCTCTTCTGCCAGCCTGCTCACTCACCTGCATGGAATTCGTTGCTGCCAATGGCTAGCAGGCCAATTGTTGAATACAAAACGGATAGAAAAACTTCATCAGAAAGAAAACGAAGCCACCTGTCAAACAAGACTACGTACTTGCTCGATGTATTCTTTCACGAACTTCCATGTATTCCTGTTCGTGCTTGACTGCTGTCATGGCCACTGCTAATTCATTAATCATCTCTTCTAGCTTGTTCTGGTGAGCTGCAAATGAATTACACAACCTCACACTTGTGCCACAAATACAAAAATCAAGCTGCAGCTATGAAACAATCTGACGTTTCTACGGCCAGCAATTACACAAGGACAGAACTTTTTAAAAAGAAGCGCAAAAACATGTTATCTGGGTATTCACTCTAATTCCCACCTAAACTGTGTACAGTCCCAAGGAGAGCAACCGTAAGTGACAGAAACACCATTCCAAAGAGTCTCTCCCTCTCATACAAAACCCTTATCTTTGTAGTTCAGGTGAGCTGCTGACATGGATTAATTTGCTATGTTCTGTTACCATAGATAGGAGGAATTATTTCTAGATAGGAAGAAAACTGGTTGTACAATAAAATAGGAACCACAGAGGATCCAAACTTACACAAAGAACACCAAGGCCAAGACAACTCCATAAGTAGAGTAATGAAGTACAGGTGCATTATTAGTAGAACTGATTTTACAGTGACTTCAAACATGCTAACACTCACACGTGCACGTTCACAGCAAAAGGTCACTTCCACAGTACACATTCTAACGGAGACCTCAGCTCACCACTTTCCTATCCGGGCACTCAGACCAGTGGACCCAGTTATGGAACACCACAAAGCAAGTGCAGAATTACAGAGTTGGAAAGGGGCCTGATTTGCCATCTCATCCAAACCTTTACAGGAAATCCAGAGCACAAGCATCTGGATGAGGCAGGGATGCAAGGATCACAAAAGGGCAGAGAAAGAAAGAAAAAAAAGCTTTTGGTACAGAATTCTGATGGCCTTGCAACCAATTCACCTCAAGCCTGCTGGGTCTTCAATACTACCATCTGGGGATCAGGAATAGCAGGAAGCAGGGAAGAGGGATGAAGATATTTTAAAACTAAAGGTGAAGACTGAGGCTCAGACAGAAAAGAGAGTTTCAGAATGGAGGATGGAAAAAGGAGCCTCATATTTTCTGGTTACTATGTGGTAAACCACCAGCAGTTCTTCAGAGGTGTGGTGTTATAAAAGTAAACAATGCACTAGCAGCACATCCTTCCATCAGCCTCTCTCGCAGGCAAGATCAGAGCCAAGCACTGAACTGAGCAGCTCGTTCGAGCCCAAAGGCGGCTTTGGGGCTGCATTTCTCAAACAGTATCCCCAAATATCAAGTAGAAAAGCAGTCCCAGAACTGTTAATTTTGAGATGAAGGAGGGGTGAAAATCATGAAGGGTTCCTTTGGGATACAGCGTTGAAAGCAGCTGTTAGCACTCAGGCCTTTCCATCTGAGCACAATAACCTCGCAATCATCAATATGTTAGCAAGGAGCTTCTTATCCCATACACAAAGCTCCCCAAAGCTGTTAAGAGATTATGAGAAGCAAATCAGAAGGACTACAGAATTTCTTCAAAGAAGAACACATACCATCCCAGGTATCTCCACCACCTAGGGAAAAGCAAAAGAAGTGAGCGGGGGGTGGGGTCAAAAGGAAAGACGCTATCCCTCAGACCTGTGCTAAAGAGGGTGTTCCTCTTTCCAACAGGCATAAAAAGGAGTTGCCAACTCCTAGTACCAGCCATCCCAATGGATTAATAGCTCCCAAAAAAGAAAGGTGGGAGCATCACGGAAGGACCTCCATTGTGTTCCCTGAGAATCAAATACAAATGATACTCTATACACGATATGGAAAAGGAAAATGAGTGCATGCTTTCCTTCAGTGTGGAACAAAAGGATCGCATCCCGCTTCCAAATCACAATTCTCTGGTCAAGAGGCATGAAGAAGTAAGTAAACACACGGAGCTGGCAACCACAGAATGGTTTGGTAAAGAGGACTGGGGATCAAAGAGACAAGAAAGCACTTAGAGTGCAACTAGCAGAAAGGGCTATTAAATCCAATAATCCAGAAAAAAAGGTCAATCGAGGGCTGCTAAGAGATAGGAAGAAAGAGGAGGGCAAGGTTAGGAACACCAAGCATATCCACAGAAACAGCAGTATGAAGGCCACATAAGGAAACAAAGACCACATGACACAAAAGTGTAGCCACCAGCCCAGTCTTCAGAACAATTTTTCAATCTGGCACCCCCTCCAGATATAGCCATTCATTCTGTCTGGAGTTTACAAGAAACAAAAGTCCGACACATTTAGAGGGGACCAGCTTGGGAAAGGCTGTTTTAATGGCTAGGTCTGCCGAATTCAGAAAAATTATGATGAAATATAAGCAGGGTCCATCACATTTGAGGCTGCAACAAAATTACCCGGAATGTTCAAACCACTGATCACCCTATGCATTTTCCTGGTCAAATTCCATTATCATATAAAGAGAAATCATTACGCTGTGTCCTGAACACTGCAGTCCAAAAGGAGAACAGACTTAGAACTTATGAAACACATAAAGTTGGGAGAAATAAATGCAGCAAGCAGGCAAATTTGTAGTTAGTGTGTGAGTGCATGGTCTCACCTTCTGTCTCCATATCCTGCCCCTTTGGAGCTTCTCCAATGTCAATAGTGAACATCACTATCTTTGGAGTCATGGTGGACATTCTGTTGCTGAAGCAAAACTTATACGTCCCATCCATGTGAGCTGCGAAGGTATATTTTCCACTGGATTCTCTATCTCCTTTGTAAATGCCCTTGTTATCAGGGCCTGTGATCTGCAAATAAGGGTGAAGGAGAAGGGTTACTCTTCATCTGCATCCAAAAGGAATAAACCTTATTTCTAAAACTTATGTATGAAACTTGGCAATGGCCAACTAACACAGTATATATTTCAATTATATATTTCAGAGAGAGCCAATGGGGTACTGGCTAAGGTGCTGGGCTAGGAGAGCCCAGTTCTACCTTCCTTCAGTCATGAACACTATCCAGGTGACTTTGGGCCAACAACCTGCCTCACAGGGCTATTGTTGTGGGAAAACAGGAGGTAGGAACATAAGGTATGTATGCTGCCTTGAATTGACGAAAAACATAATGGCAGGATACAAACATAATACATAAATATTTAAATAAATAATCCAGCAGATGGCATTCAGTACTGCCCAGAGATTATCTTCCGAAATGAATTTCAGGGTATAAAAATATAATATTGCTCTTACTGGATCTTATCAAAATCTAACCATGCATCCAGTGGCCAACCAGAGGAGCATTAGAATATAACTAACAACAAAACGTTATTACAGTCAAGAGACCTAATATAAACAAAACATCTACAATAAAAGAACAGTAAAATGATCCCTCACAACGTGTCACTGTTTGTGTAACTTTAACCAGGAAATGCTACAACCCCAACACTGCCCTAACAGTTTGCCAGTGGGTTTCCACCACATTTCTTCAACTAAGCACTGATCCGGGTAGCCCCAAAGAACAATCATTCACATTTTTAAAAAAAGTCTAACAAGCCAATACAGGGCCACTGCTATTCTCCCAATCTCTTCTAAACACACACACACACACACACACACACAACAAAGTTAACTACAGTCGGTCCTTCCAGAGTTTCCTATCACGTAAAACCAATAACACTACGCTTTTCACTTTAGGGTTAAATCCAAAAGTTCTGCTAAGAGGTGACCTGCAGGGGCTGATAAATTACTGTTTTATAGCCCATAATCTATTTATGTGGTCACTAACCGTCAAAAACAACTTGATGCGACATAATCCAACATCCCTCCTTACACACAGTTACTTCTAACCTATTACTATTACTATTATTATTCTCCTCAGACCGTCTGCTCTTCACCACTGTGTCTAGTAATAATAATTTATTAAATGTACATGCCGCCCCACTCCCAGCGACTCCAGAGCGTCCCTTCCCCAAAGCCAAGGACAGGAAAGATTCCACCCCCCGAGCAACCACATCTCCCCTTTCGGCAGCCCTGCCAGTCAGGCCCAAAGCGTTGTGGAGCGCCGAGCTACTTCGGCGTTTACAGCCACGGCAGCGGCTGGCGAACAGCCCTGCCCCTCTGGCCCCTTCTCCTCCTATCTGCCCGCAGGAAGAAGGTAAAGGTGGGGCGAGGCGAGGCGAGGCGAAGACCGGCCCCTCTGACCTCCCCGGTGGCGGAGGCATGGGCGTGAGGGCAGCCCGCTCGCGGAGGCGTGCGCTCTGCACGCGCTCAGAGGCGCCCTG